AGCTGGTCTTTGAGAGTTTTCTTTCAAGTCCCGTTATCGTACTTAAACATCCTGGTCTGTGACATCCCTCAAGTTTTATGGCCTTGTTTACTTCGTTTCCTGCGCGTACAAGGTCACTTTGCCCTGGGTCAGTCATGGCATCTTCTTGAAAAATGGTTTCTACATTACAGCGCCTGTTACTCCCGCAACATGAGACTGCTGAAGGCAATATGGAGTTTGTAACTTGGAAAGGACTTTGCCCTAGAAAGCAGTTTTGTGTCTGGTTTTGTTATTGCATCCACTAATATCCCCTTTTTTGGGGGGTGTATGTTGTTTCTTATCTCTCTCTTAAGATGATGCATATGGGCGTCTGGAAGCATTTTGAAAATGCTGGTGTTATGAAATCCAGCCTCTTATTTTAGCATGTCTCATTTTTACAGAAGGTTGCTAAGGTGATATAATACCTACTGGAATAATATCTTTATCTGTATGTTTCTCCACTGCTTCCCTGTGTAAATATTACATTACTTTTTCTAATTCCATCAGAGAAACCTTAACACCTCTGTTTTCCGAAGTAAATGAAGGCCATGCTATCCCATTCTTTGGGAGCATCACTCCCACCAGTAATTTGGAACCTATTTTCCCATTGCAGCTACATTTGCTAGTAAGATAAGTCTCAAAAAAAAAAAAAAAGTTTCTTAAATTCTCCTGAAAATAAATGAGATTATGAAAAGGGTAAATGGTGAGCTCCATCCTCTGACAACAAAGTCTTTATTTGCCTGCTGTAGTCAGGAGCAGGACTCCCATCACAGATTGCTGTTTATTTGAAATGCGAGAACCCTAAAATTATTGTACAACTTCCAGGTGAAGCATTTGTTCCAGCTGGGCCAGTTTTAATATCTGTTTGTTTTGTAGTTTGTTTCATTAGTTCCCATGTTCACGGAGGTAACTTCTTTTTGCGTAAAATTCCTCTAGAAAAGACAAAGCTGAGAAAAAGACTAGTAGCCACATAAACATGTTTGGTTTCTTCTTGTGTTTTTCTGTTTGTGGTTGAGTGACGAGGCTTAACAAGCATTTCCTTGACTACTAAAATAGACTCTGACTTGAGGATATATAGTGTGGGTTCTTTCCCATGCTCATGTCTTACAGTGTGGATGCCCCATCTGTCTCCTTTTCATACTAAACACACTTTTATTTGTTGTTTGAGTGATTCTAAAAACTACTCTCTGGCTGTTCGCTCTTGTTTATTCTCCAAAAATCTTAAGAGCACTTTATAACACCAAAAAGTGACAAGCAGGGGAGCCACTTGATAAATAATTGTATGAAAAGCCCCTTGTCACTCAGTCTCCAACATAAATTAAGCTCATCAGCCACCCGCATGCTTGTACAAATCTTAATTTGCTTCATATCTTGGGTATCATAAATTAATCAGTATTTCAGTTCATTTTTTTCAGTGTTTTGTCCTCTAATAGTACATAATTTTTATTGCACTCTGTAGGTCATACTCATGTCTCAGTGGGTGATATTGTCTCTTATCCAAATACTTTCTGCTGCCTCTTGAAAGATGATCATGTTCTGTTGCCTCTTGATTTTTTTCTATTCCTCAGACAGTATAAGTGCAGCCTTGAGAAACAAGCAGTGCCTGGATACTGGAGAAATGTTGGCTTCACTTTCCTCTAAATTTGTTAGTTTGGCAGGAACTGGTGCTGTTGCAGCTGCAAATCTGTGCTGTAAGCTGACCTACAGCTGCATTTGTTCGTTGCTGTCTCTTCTGGGCTGACTCTTCTGCGCTGGTGTGTCTGGTTAGGAGACAGTGCCTGCTCAGAGTGCCAAGTGATCCTTGGCCAAGGTGAGGTGCCTTTGCTGGCCAAGTGTCTGCTTTCACTGCAGTGCAGAGCCTGAAGGACAGAGGGTGGCTCTGCCCAGCAGCAGGGATTGCCGTTCACTGCTCCTGATGCTGCCTCTGTCCCACAGCCTGACGTGCCTGCGGAACACCTGGAATGCTGTCTTTGGCTCGAGGGCACTGAGAGTGGCTTTTAGTTGGTTTTAGGTTTGCTGAATTGGGAGGTTCTGCACATCTGGTCCAAGAAAGCTGGAGAAAGGCTTTTAACAAGGGTGTGTAGTGACAGGACAACGGGGAATGGCTTCAAACTGAGAGAGAGTAGGTTTAAATTAGCTGTTAGGAAGAAATTCTTTACTGTGAGGGTGGTGAGGCCCTGGCACAGGTTGCCCAGAGAAGCTGTGGCTGCCCCATCCCTGGAAGTGTTCAAGGGCAGGTTGGATGGGCTAGTGGAAGGTGTCCCTGCCCATGGCAGGGGATTGCAATGGGATGGGCTTTAAGGTCCCTTCCAATGCAAACCATTCTGTGACCGTGGGTTTGATTTTTTGCTTAGAGTTGCTTTTTTTGAGTGAGTCGTATAGTGCACAATAAAGAACAAAGGGAAGCTTCTTAATATTCACCGTGAGTTTGCACTGTAAATTTATGTCTGGCAGCTAGGTAGAAAAAAATTAACAATATTTAATGTTAAATTTAGGTCAGCTATTCTGGACTTTATTACTCAGGCATTTGACGTAGGAGCTTTCAGCCTGGTGCATTTCAAGCAGTTGAAGAGGATAGGAGAGAATCCACAATACAGAGTATGTAATTTATTTACTAGGAGTTTTTTGCTGTCTCATTGTCAGGCTGCTGTTTGGTTTTGTACACAAAACCATCAAGAGAAAAACTTGTAATAATTTTTAAAAAACCTAAAGGAACCTGAGTTTTATTTCCTAATTCTTGCCTTGGTTGTTTCAAGCTGATATGAAGAAGATGTAGAAGTTGCAGAGGAACTAGTTAACAGTTCTGGTGAGGACTTTGTCCTCTCATGGGCTGGTTTTCTCTCTCCTATGGTCACTCAGAAATCAACTGTGAAAGAAAAATTGTATTTTGAGTTCAGATTACTTCTTAAAAAGTAAATTTGGATTTTTTTTTTTTAAGAAGATTTGTTTAAAAACTATTTTTGTTTTAAATCTGGTAATTCCCGATATGATAGCAAGATAATACATAGAGGAATCTAATTACCAGAGAGAGAGCTGATATTTTATTTAGGTTATTGGTGTATGTTAACAGAGCTCTCACACCGTTACTTATGGATCAAAACACAGTGTTAATGGTGCTCTGAGAAAAGACCACCTTTCCCTGCAGGAATTAAGCATTGTTGATTCTGGGTTTCTTATAAACCTAAGTGAATGCTGCTGTAACAGCTGGTTCTATAAACATGTTATAAAACTGCTACTTGCTCAATACTCTTCTTATATTTCCTAAAAACAACAGCTGCTTATTTATTATCCAATTATATTCAAAAGTTGAACTCGATGAGTTTCTTTACTCATGATTGAATTAACTGATTGCTGAGACTGTTAACTGTGCTTTTCCTTTCTTTTATCTGATGCAATTGCAGTTAGAAGGTCATGCAAAAAGAAATTTAAAATGCACCAGTTGAAGTGCTTGGGCCTGTTTGTCCCCATTCCCTGTACAACACCACCAGAATAGAAAATGTGCAAACATAAGGTGTTGGCTTCTTAGTGCAACACATCTTTGGAAGTTGTTCCTTTTTTTTGTTGTTGTTTTGGTAATAGTTATTGACTTTTAAAGCTCTTCAACTGTCATAACTCTTAGTTTACATGTATTTCAAAAGCACCAACAAACCAAAGATCTGTGAGCAACATGTTAGTAGATAGCAGTTACTAAGTGAGTAGAAAGTGTTTGATATATAAACCAATTTTGCTGTGTACTGTTCCTTAGAGAAAGTAATTATTCAGGGTATCTGTGGCACTAGCTGTAACTTTTAAAGCAGTGAGAATACAGATGTTTTGTTAATCCAGGCACAGTTCTTTCCATTAATTCTAGCTTTACTCGGGTATACAAGGAGTTTTTGTGTTTGCTTGATCTGCCTTTTTTGCCTCGAGAGTGGAGGGAGTGGGATTTTTTTCCACCTTTTAAGTCAGCAAGTTTGCATTAATAACACCATTTTACAAGAGCAAGCATTTAGAATTGGGTAGTGTGAAGTACATTTGTTTTAGTCTGGATTTTAGTTGTATAATGTGTTTTTTCAAGCAGAGATTTTTTTTCTTTTTTTTTCCCCAGGAACTGGAGGGATGTAACAGTGCCCAAACACTGTTGGAATTCAGTTTTACATTTTTTTTCTTATAGATCCATGTACATCTAAAAGAGCATTGCAACAAGATACAGGGATCACAAAGGACTGTATTGGACATGTGTGAGCTGCCAATACAAGGACCGTCAGAGAACAGTGTCCTTTCTGCCAGCTCATGGCAGATGCATTGTATTGTACTCCACATGGACTGTACTCCTGCTCCTGTTCCTTTCAACCTCTTTGATTTACAGCTGTTACCTGTGTAGGATTTCTTTGAGTTACCAATTCATAAATAATTCCTTGTTGGAAAGGCGGGTTGGGAGACAGTGCAGGGAAGCGAAAGGAAATGTGGGCTGTAAATCAGAATAATGCTTTGGTGATGGATATTGGGTAGGATGTGCAGGGAGCTGATATTTCTCCTGGTTCTATGGGTCATGAAAGAATGCCCCCGTTTCACTGTGACTCTCTCTATCCTGCAAGATTGCTGCATTTTTGGGGCAAAACCTAGGGTACCCTTTGGGTAAGCTAAATCAGATCAACCCAAAATAATTTGTGGAGCAGAGCTACATGTGGCCTTGGAATACTTTATATGGATGGCACAGTAACCTCAATATCTCTTTCTTTAAAATGGTATTTCTTTGATAATTTCACATGTCTACCTAATATTAAGTAAAGAGATCTTCCAAAAGAGTAAGTAAAAAGCATTCTGATGATATTTTTGTTGGTCTTATTTTGTAGTCCATGATTGTACAAGGAAGAAGGACTTTGAAGGTCCCACCCAGAAAGCTCTTTGGGAAGCTAGGCAGCAGAAAATCATTGTTGCTGCAAGTTCTTCGTCTGATCCAGTCAAAGATGCAGAGAAGAAGATGGGCAAGAGAGATCTGAAGGTACGTAGTGTTCTTTCCAGTTGCTCAGTATCTAATCCACTTTAAACTGAGCTGTGGTGAAAGATGCCTGTCCAATGTGTTTAAAAGAAGCCATACTTAGTAGAAGTAAATAGGAAAGGTAGGTAACAAGTTTATTTTCATTATGAGTTCTTATTGCAATTAATATTGTTTATTGAGGTGGCATTTTTTGACGATATAACAGTGGGGTTTATTTTTCCAGATCAGGGTAAACATTTGAATACCTAAAATTTCCTAAAGCCCTTGAACCTGTTTCATTGGTATATTTCTGTTTGAGAAGTACAGTTAGAGTTTAAACTGTGGGTTTTGGGAAGGAAAAAATCTTGACGTGATGCTGAGATAGTTGGAATTGGCTTCAATCTTTGCTTGTCTCCACAAGACTTGTGTGGTGTCCCATCTCCTTTGACCTATATCAAAAGATCTTCTAAATTCTGCTGTGTCTTGTGTGACTTAAAATCATTCAGCATGGGATTGTCTTCATTGAAGAGTGTGCCATTAAGTCTTATTTTCTCTACAGTGATGAAAATAACACTTTAAATGTTTTATTGGGGAGGGTAAAACTGATTTATATGTATTAAGATTGATTCATTTAAGTTCTCTTTATACTACGTAGGAAGTGAGCGAGCATAAATTGGTCAGTTCATGGAATTCAGGTGAGGAATATACAGAAGAAATAAATACAGTTAAAAAGTCCTATATTTACACAGTTCATTTATGACAAAATGGAGAAAACAGAAGATATGGGAAATCTAGGTAAAATTCACTGTTTAGTATTGTTTAGCTCTTTTCAGTAAATGTAGGTGAACATTTAGAGTTCAGAGTGAACCCTTAATCCAATTTTCAAATGTAGACATTTTGATTATATCATATTCAGTAAAAAGCCATTATATTGTCATGGGGTTGTATCCTTGAGACAAAATTATAAATGTTTGCATTAACTGTACTGTTACATAGGAGTGAACTATGGTGATGGAAATGATTTAACATCTCTTTTTGTCTTGTAGCTAAACAGTGATCTAACAAATGCCTGTGCTTTAAAGTAGATGCAAATATGACTCATAGCTGAGCAAGAACATTTGCTTCAAAGACAGATATATATATATATTGTGGTTTTGTAATATCCTGTAAAAGCTGACACATAATTCAAAACATCAAAGGGTCCCTTTTGATGTGAAGTTTATCAGTGAAACAGTGAAAAAGCAACTGGATTTTTTTCTAAGGGAATGTATTATCATGATTTTATAATCTTTGTTACGAGGCTCAATTAAATTGTACAGTAACAGACAATTAGACTAAACTGTTTACATATCTGGTCCTTACTAAGCCAGTATCAATAGCATAAATATTCTTAGATGAAGAATGTGTATAGAGTACTGCTTTAAACATTTAAATTAATTAAAATGCACTCGCAGGTCATTAAAATTGTAGAGAACTTTTTATAATGAGAATTTCATTATGCTGCGGAAATATACTGTCCCTATTTTTATATTTTCATTCTCTCAGGTTCCTCTCAGAGTATATTGTAAATTTGATTGGTTTTAGTAGTTATTAGCAGGACAATTGCAGGTTCTTTATATTCACTAAATTCTATTTCTACATATAATATATTACAACCCAGTTTAATTTTCTGCAGTTTTACTTGTGTAAAACTTTATCTAAAGGTGCACTAGCCATTTCTGGAGTTAAGTCATTGTCTGTTTCTGTGGAACAGATTTTGCAATCAGGGCCATTGTGTGTATTAAAAACACAGAAGTAAAATCAAGTGATCATACAAATACAGCTTCTGTAATTAATAATATTTTGGGTTGAAATACCACATGGATACATATATTAAACCCAAGCCTCTCCTCAGTTCTATGGAAGAAAGTATACAAAAGTTACAAGAACTGCTGTTTCTGTGCTCTTAAGCAGAAGGGAAGCTGAAACCAAATGATTGCTTAATCAGATTATTGAATTGAATAATTTGAATATAAATTAGCACAGGCATAGTGGGGACAGAATTGGAAAGATGAGATCCCAAAATAGTTAGGAAGGGTTTTAGACAAAATAATCATTTTGTGTTTGTAATAAGGTGGCTAAGAAAGCACTGAGTTGATATTCAGAGAAGATGACTGACAGATAGTACTGAGAATGCTTATTCCTACAGTCCTTCCCTGGTATGATAAAACTCCAGACACGTAGCTAAGAAAATTAATACCAGTGATGCAGATATAACACTGCAGTCTAAAGAAGGGAAAAGGATAAAGTAAAACCTAAGAAATAAAAGAGATAAAAAGTAAAAGCTAAGAAATGATAGACAGTATAACTTAAATTCCTAAGGAAGCTGGCAGTTAATAACTGAAATTGTACTGAACATCTGCAAGAAACCAGGAAAAGAAGTAACTGTGACAATGGATTTGCAAGGAAAAAGTATTTCAATCCACTCTAAATTGCATCCATAGAAGGATAGGAAGTATGGATAGAAGAGAAGCAGTAAATGTAGTACCTTTATCTTAGTCTTAAAATATAAGAGCTCTTATATTTTTAGAAAGGCTGTGGGTACTGTCTCACAGACAGTTAGTTCCTGTGAGAAAGTGTAGAAATTTGGCCTGACAGAAATTTTTCTAAATTAAGGAAATATAGATTAGAAGTTTGCAGATGTATTGAATAGGTATTTTGCTGGGATATGTTGTCATTAATGACCTGGAAAATGGAGCAGAGAATAAGCTGACAGAACTTACAGACCAAGTGACCTGGGTTGGGTGGGGTTGGAATAGCAAGTGAAGCTGAGGATAGGCGTAAAATTCCAAAGCTGTCCTATTGGAGAATCGATCTGAATAAATAACATGCAATGTAAGAAAAGGTACAAAACTCTGCCTTTAAAAAATGATCCAGTGCACAAATACAGATCAAGAAGATAAGAAAGTGTTGATCAAATGGCTTTTAATTAGAGTAGGCTGTAGGGTATGTTGTGTATGCTCAACATGACTTGAAAATGCCATAATATTGCTGAATAGCTGAAAGCTCTATTGCAGTGTAAACCAGGAATATTGCATGGAGGCTGTGGAATATTCCTCTTGCTTTGTTCAGCTGGCACGTGGCTTTGGCTACAGTTTTGTGTTCAGTTTGATCACAGCTCCTCTGGAGACAAGGGGTGCATCTACACTAGAGCAGTAAGAATAATTAGAAATCTATGAAAGTGTTCAAAGGAAGGGCGAAAAGTGAAGTTGTGTAGTCCACAGAAAAGAACCCTAAAGGGGAGACAGGATGCATCCTTAAAATAGAATTCTGTTTTAAAAAAAAAAAAAAAAAAAGAAAAAGACCAGAAAATATACCAAATAACAAAACAACCTGTTAGCACAAGAAGTAGTAAGGTAGAAACTCAATAAGAATGGTTCAGATGACAGATTAAACGATTCATGGTGGTAAATACAGTGAAGCACTGGACTAGATTGCCTGGGGACTTTGTGTTACTGGAACAGGACACGCAGATTTTTCTGAGGAATAGCGTAGGTCCAGTGTCCCCTCGGGAAAGGGGATGTACTGGCTGAGCAGTAGAGGGTTTGTTTAGCTGCCTGGCTGTCATATTCCCCCAAAAACTGTCCTGAAGGGAAGCAGCTTTCAGCCTTGCTCTGAAATAGTGGGCGAATTTTGACTTTCTGCTGAAGAACAGCAATATCAAAGAAATTATTTCTAATCCCCATTAGACTTGAGGGCTGGGGGAAGGGTCAAGACTCACATTAGTGCCTATAGATGGGGAAGCAGATGATATGCCAGCCAGCAAGTGTGGATTTGGGAAGTGCTGAGTGTGCCTGTGGCTCTGGAACGGGGATGGCACGTGCAGCTTCGTGTCCAGTGGGACTGGCCTCAGGTGCACAGTGGGATTAAGCAGCACAGAATATATATCCTCAGAATATGATACCTCTTTCCTTCTACAGAAGGAATTAATGTTCTGTGACTCAAATGTTAAGAACATGATCTAAGATTAACTGGATGTAACCTAAAATGTGTTCTTTAGTTGGTTTTGATGGAATTTAATTTAAAAGAGTTACATATTTTGTAATGAAACAATTCTGGCTTGAAAATGGTAAAAAGAAAAAACTTCTTTGTAGATGACATCCACGCTCTTGTTTTAATTTTTCTATGATATTCTGTAATGTAGTGGATAATGTGATGATAGCTTTAGTTTCAGGCTTTCCCAGGTGTGTTGAAAAGTGACAAACCTACAGGGAGAAAATAAGAAAATGCTTAAGAATTTTAACTACAAATAAAGCTGTATAGGTAATACTCATACAGCTGCAAGACCAAATTGTAGACAACTTACATATAATTTTTCATCCATCTTTGCAGCTTTGTTAAATCAAGACACCTATTGCATGCATTTCTAGAAATAGATTGATACTTGAAGCCACTGGTACTTGATAAAATTACTTCACAGATCATCCAAAGGGTTTCTTTATGCTGAAGAACAAGGCTTATTTTGAGCCATTGCACACTGCCAAGAATAATAAGGTAACAGACCCCCAAGACTGAAAACCAGTACAGAAGGATGTTGGGAAGTAGGATGCATTTGATCCTAACTCTAATTGTACACATGCTTTGCATATTTATATATTTCTTTCTGTCTCTGAGTGTAAATAATGATTTTAGAATAATAGTCTGTCTTCAGTGACACTTTTGCTATAATCACTTGCAGAAACTACTGATAATAAAATTACTGGTTTTTAGATGCAAATGCTTTGATTTCCTGGAAGAGGGACCTACTGAAATAATATTTAATTTTAAAAAACTGCCTTTGAGTGTTGCTGAGATGATGTAAAAGACAGGAAAAAAATTACATAAATGTTAAGAGTTGAAAATGTTTGTTTTCCTTTACTTTTCTCAATAGCTGTTGCTGTCTTCCTCAGAACAGCCAGCCCTGTTAAAGGGGGAGAGTTGGGAGTTGTGTTGTTGCTTAAGGGTTTCCTTTACCCGACAGGCATTCCTGCAATGCTTTCCTTCAA